ACTCATCAACTCCCCCAAGCTTAGAGGTTTGCTCATTCCCAAGCAAGTACCGCAACTTGTAAAAAAGAAGCCCTCTTGATTATGAGCTGCAGATAACGAAAGATGAATGAGTCCATCAAAGGATTCAAAAAATCATGCTAGATAAATAATCATATTGGCCACTATTACATCTCCACTTTAATCATATGATCATGAATGCTTCCACACCTTACTATTTATTGGTTAGTAGACGTGTCCCAACTTTATGCGGTAATTCACCCATCTTTCAGACGAGCAAGTTGCGCTGGTCTCTCAGTTTCCCCGTCTTTTTAAAGGGCCAATTCCATGCTCATGTCACATTGAATTTTGTTTTAAGCATGACATGAAAATATAGCCATAATTACTAGTTTTTTATGGATACTTATTTTATTGAGGAGAGTTTTTACCGAAGAAGCAACTTGCTCTTCATCATTTTATTTGGCTCATGAGACAACTGTCTTCAGCAAGTTTTTTTTTGTTTAGCTAGAAAAACATTAAACTGAAATATAAGTGATTTATCTCATCTACTTGTCAACTTCTCCTATCCGATTGATACTAAAGATGTGGAAGACTTATACTCATCATCTTCATGTGGAATAGATTAGCACACAATTTAATTTGATATCTAGTATAATTTCAAGAATGTAATAATAGAACATTCATCAAACCATGCATGACTCATCGGATATAAGAATCTTTCTTTAATAAAAAATAAGCATGATCGTCCACTTTTACTCAAAAGAACTAAAGACTTTTCACTGAACATTAACTAGAGGAAAACTATAAGGAATAGAAAGGGCTTCAATTTCCCTCCAAGCTTAGCATGCTAATATAGTTGGATTCATTTAGTCTCCTCTTCATTTACCGGTGTTCTTCACAGATGCCAGCAAGTTGATGTTGGTGAGTGTGTCGAGGAGGAGCTTGTTGGTCACCTCCAAGTCCACGATGCGAAGCTTGTACATGCGTAGGGACTCGTCTTGGTTTGTTATGATCCTCAGGCCTGTGGTCAGCGCAACCCGGATCTTCACATGGAGTGTCGTCTCCATCTCCTTGATTTGTTCACGCAAAACATTATTTATAGCTTTGGAACTACTGGCATGTACCTCGGCGTCAGCAGATGGTTTAGGATCCAAGAGGAGTTTCTTCCTCGGGGTCCTGTGGTGATGTGTGCGTTGATGGTTTGCTCCCTGTGTTCCCTTGGGTCGATCTTCTGAGACTCTCCAATTGGTTCATGGATGGTGCAGCCGTTGAAGCCACACTTACCATGATGATTGGAGTATAGTTGACGAACTGGAGATGATCATCGACGGTGATGACCTTGATTGAATCAATGGGGATCATTTTTGGCTTGTTTTTGCCTCCTCCTCTTCTTCGTGGTCCTCGAAGGGCTCCTCTTGTGGTTCCTCCTCTGATGAAGTCCAATCGTGAGCTCAACGTGTTATCTCCCTCTTGCTCCTGGGTGAGTCATGGCCTTCAATTTCTATATCCTCCTCCTCTTGGGAAGAGGTCTGCCTCTCGTCCCATGAATGCTGCATTGCTTCCTGTACTCGAAAACTCAAGAAAACTTGTTCTAGATTGATTTCGTTAGCTTTGAAGAGAGAGGAGGCATGCTCATAATAATTAAAGCAGACAACATACACCATTCTGAGATTCCGTCGAGAGCATCCTGGCACCTAAATCTTCTAAAACCCCATTCTCTTCCCAGCGCTGACCCCACCACTAATAAGAAAACTCCTCGGCCAGGAAAAGGGGCCCAACCAGGCAGCATTCGAGTACAACGCCTCGATGGAAGTAAAAGAAAATAAACAGTTGTGTCGGGCACCCAACGCGGTTCCAACCCCTTTCTTCTCTCCATCACTGGCCCTACCGCTTACAAGAAAACATATCGGATAGATAAATAGGCAGTAGCCGAGCACATGGAAGTAGGCCCAATTAGGAAACAGACGAGTACATCGAAAGAGGGCCAATAAGGTGACGTTGCATGGTCGTTCGTACGCAACACCAGCGTTGATGATTCTTCCACCAAACCCAACAAGGTGCATTTGGTCCGACAGGAGCATGTAACACTACGAGTCCAGATAGGCTACATCCAATCAACTAGCACATTAAACCTGAGTAGATAGCATAATAGGGAGAACTGGAACACCATCATTATATCTTGCTTCTCGAGCCGTACACGTGCAACAAATCCCGACGCCGGATAAAGGGGTGGTAGCTGAGTACACGAAAGGGCAGCAGAAGAAATGGTTAAACGATCGACCATGCGGTGTTGCATAGCCAGCTGTACAACAAAGATGGCCCAAGGAAAGAGATAGAGAGTGGGATGATAGTAAATGGATAAGGCTTAGATGGGCAAACGTCCGACCTCTCCTACACCTTCGTCACATAGGCCCACGAGAGACCACACGAGAGGCACCGTAAATGACGGACACATTCTTGTTGTGTTTCGAATAAACACAATTTGTGTTCCCTTTTTGGCATCGATGCGCACAAAAAAATTAACACGTGATATAGAATGTGTTCCTACAAAAATTTTGATTTGGTCAAATGGAGCATACAGTGTTGCGGATCTCAGATAGGTAATGTCACGTCGCTTGCCGCACTTAACGTGAGAAGATGGCACATCAGCGGCCCTAGGAATCGAACACCATCATTCATTCAACTTGGTTGACGAAAAGTTGTCCCTTGGCATTCATTCAAGTTGTCACACAAATTAACATCACAGAACATCCCATATTCTCTTTCTTGAATTTCTCCTCTTGATGGTTATTCTCATACTTGTGGTTCTTTTTTGCATGAATCTTGAGAATCTTTGCAAACTCACGAGTGTGTGACTTGTACATCTTTATATTTAACATCCAATGGAAAGATTTTAATGAAGCACATGAAAACCTGATTGTGGCATAGAGTTGAAGAATCAATTCTAGCTTAAAATCTTGCCTAAAGCTCTTGATGGTTATTCTCATACTTGTGGTTCTTATTTGCATGAATCTTGAGAATATTTGCAAACTCATAAACGTGTGACTTGTATAGCTTTATATTTAACATCCAATGGAAAGATTTTTAATGAAGCATATGAAAACCTGAGTGTGACATAGAGTTGAAGAATCAGTTCTAGATTAAAATCTTACTTGAAGGTCTTCTGTCGCTTGTGCGGACCTAGCAATCCAGGCAAGCGACATTCCTCCCCGGACATGTTAATACCTTGGTGGCATTGCACCTATGATGCTTGGACGAATGAATCATTTGAGGTATCCAACTTTCTTTCCGCTATCATGACTATGCGCCTAGTAGTAAACCCGAACCTGTGATCTCTAACTACACTCATGTTCTTGGGCGTATGCACTAGATTTTTTTGTCGGTAGTGTAGCATACCATTTTTCTACTTGATCGCCTTCCGCGTACTTCCCCTGTTTCAGAATATAAGGTGCATTGATTTCCATGCAACTCAATCATTTCAATGTTTGACCAAGATTATAGAATAAAATAATAACATCTGCAACCTAATAATAGATAAAATATAAAACTACTTTTCATGATGGTTCGAAGGATATAAATTTTGTATTCTAGATATTGATATATTTTTCTAAAATCTGGGTCAAACATACACTCGTTTGACTTTTGAAAAAAATACACCTTATATAAAGAAACAGGGGGAGTACATGCTAACTCCGATTTCCTTATTACTAAAGGATATAAAATATGATCGTGAATCACTAAGAGTTATAAAATGTGTCCTTGGCATTGCCAACACTTGTCATTGAAGAACTAGGGGTCACTAACCATCTTCCTATTTACATCCTTTTGGGTGGGCTATAATTGTAATGTACTTGAACAAATATTAGTTATTTAATCAAGTTGTCATTCATCATCTAGATGCACTTTAACAATTTTACATTTGTTTTCGTTCCAGCTTACAAATGTGGAAAGCATTTGTCACAACGCTAAGTTCCATCTGTTTTCACTCCATTTTCGTTCCTAATTGTACACGTGTGTACTCACTTATGGTACTCCCTCCGTTCACTTTTGTAAGTCATTTCAGACAACTCAAAATGGGATGTTTTGTACATTGTCTGAAATGTCTTTAAGGTTTTATAAAAGTGAACAGAGGGAGTAGTATTTTTTTTCAAAGTCTATGAAATCCTCTATTACTATATAGTTGTAATCCAATATCTATATTTTATATCCATGTAATCATGCAAAGTCAGCAAGTCATACATGGCTCTCACAAGGTCTTTTCTCATTAGTGCAAGCCACAAACTATTTTGCATATCCATGTCGTCCTGCCACATCAGTAAGTCATACATGTCTGTCATAAGTTACTCTTTTTTTTTACTTTTTTTTTGCGTTGACGTCGTCGGGTTCATGTGTTATTTGCTTGTAGCACACTATGTAGTTTGCACTTCATATTTTCGTTACAAGATGACATTAAATTAACTGTGATTTGAAAGTTTTTCTTTTTTATACATCATTTTGTTCTGTTAAAAAACTGAGGATACTCCTACATATGCTTTGCATTAGGTTTAGTTGTTTTTGCAACTGCATTTTTTAATCAAATTCCCCGCAACAACAAGACGGGGGCTATCATCTATAGTTTTCAATAAAGTTACCAATGACAAACAAACCTAAAGTCTCCATGAGTAGGGCTGCTGCATGAAAAGTCTTCACACGCAGGGAGAGCAATTAATCTCATCATTAAACAAATGGTGTTTCCCTGTCCAGATTCTCCGGTACAAATTCATTAATTGAAGCCCCAAGCGAACAACATCGGTTGTTCTGCAACCCCTCCAACCCCAACGGTTCTTGCATCAACCCCTCCTAACCTTGACCACCTCAAGCAAGCTACCCTCTGCTATATAAACACTTCCCCACAAACCCATCTCCTCAGAACACAGAAACCCCACTTCCTCTGTACTCTTTCTCCCTTTAAACCCACAAATCTCTCTCTGTCTGTGATCCATACACTCAAAGAGACCATCAAAATGGTGAGCGCGCAGTACCAACTCAATTTCTCTTTGCTGATTACATTGTGTATGTTGCATTTTCTTGTTGTTCATATTACTCGTACGTGCAGGTTGCGGAGGCGAAGCAGAACGGCGTGGCCATCATGGCGGGCAGCAAGGCGCAGCTGATGTCGGTGAAGCGCAGGGAGCCGACCTTGGTGTCGCCGGCGGAGGCGACACCAATGGGGGAGCAGTACTACCTGTCCAACCTGGACCAGAACATCGCGGTGATCGTGCAGACCGTGTACTGCTTCAAGTGCCCGTCGGGCCGCGGCAACGAAGGCGCCGCGGACGCGCTCCGGGCCGCGCTGGCCCGCGTGCTCGTCCACTACCACCCGCTCGCCGGCCGCCTCGGGATCAGCCCGGAGATGAAGCTCACCGTGGAGTGCACCAGCGAGGGCGTCCCGTTCGTGGAGGCCGAGGCCGCCTGCGACCTGGCCCTCATCGGCGACCTCTCCACCCCGGACCCCGCCGCGCTGGGCCAGCTCGTGTACTCCGTCCCCGGCGCCAAGAGCATCCTCGAGATGCCGCCCATGACGGCGCAGGTACGCCACGCCACTCGCACGCGCTCGAGCGCAGAGGCATGCATTAACTACGTATGAGCGTCGCCCTCCATTTCCACGGGGGCGGCTTCGTTGCGTCCACGGGGACCCTCGATCGCCTCTTTCATTTTCGTGAAAAGGAGAAGATAAAAGCTTTGTGGATGCACGTATTCCCGGTGTTACTGCGCTTCCCTTGCGTGACCCGAATAATTGAAGTTAGTATTGGTTGGCTAGCAGTGGGAGGGTCGACTCCACAGGGTTTGAACGAAAGTGAATTCAATGCGGAACCAGAAAACATGTACTGCTTCCGGCCGGGTACTTCTTTGATAACACATGAACCAGGACGGAGGTAGTAGTCGTTAACTATCGTGTACAGTACTACAAGGTCCGCCACAGCAACCTTGTAGCCAGGAGCAGTTAATAGTTGAGGACTGGGCAGTACTCGCCGAGTGGCAAGGTTTTTGTGGAATCGGATCCTCTAACATTGAGAAGGAAAGTTAGATAAGCTACAATACTCTAACTTTCCTTCTTTCTATCTATATGATTATCGCTAAAATGATTTAAATTAATTTACAGATTGATGATCTACTGTGTACATTTATAGTAATTACGTACAAACAAATTGATGGTGAAATAAAATTAATTTTAAATTATTTATATTTACAGTAAATACCAACAGTAAACAACCTACTAATTATCTACTAACAGTCCTTAACTTTCCTTCTTTATTTTACACTAGGCACACACTATAGCACCGTGACTTTCCTTCACAATGTTAGAGAATCCGGTTTCCGGTTTTTTGTGGTAGCCGGAGTCGAATTTCTGGGTGATAGTGCGCTCATGGATTTTAAGGGTTTGATAAAATCTAAATATGTTTTCCTGGTACAGAGGTTTCTTTCCTACTAGTACCTACTAGCACCACTTTGATAAAGTCTAAATATGTTTTGTTTGGTCAAAGATTTCTTTAGTACTCCATTGTTAGCTTAACCACTTCTACCTATAAATCAACCAAACCATACTGTCCGTTTTGTTTTAGTTGTCGAGCTACCTCATGACATATTGACAGATACATGTCTCTTTTTTTTGAGGATATTGACAGATACTACATGTCATTCGCTGATAACTAATCCACTCATCCAACATGTGGTACCAGTAGCTAGGGTCCAAAACTCACACAAGATTAATCGTGCACCAAATTACAGTAGTTAACCTTGATACATCCAACACTAAAATTAGTCAAAACGCTGCTGCTGGAAATTTAATGAATTTGAACTGTGTCGTTTGTACTTTGAGTTGTAGAAATTTATTTACCATTGGTCAACTTAATTCGCAGGTGACCAGGTTCAAGTGTGGCGGCTTCAGCCTCGGGTTGGCCATGAACCACTGCATGTTCGACGGTCTGGGCGCCATGGAGTTCGTCAACTCCTGGGCCGAGATGGCGCGCGGCGCCACAGAGCTCACCGTGCCGCCGTTCCTCGACCGCTCCGTTCTCCGCCCGCGCGATCCTCCTGTGATCTCCAACCCGCACAACGAGTTCGAGGAGATCGCTGACGTCTCGGAAATGGCGGCGCTCTACGGCCGCGAGGAGCTGATGTACCGCTCCTTCTGCTTCGATCCGGACAGGCTTGAGCGCGTCCGCGGTCTCGCCCTCGCCGACGGGGATCTCGAGAAATGCACCACCTTCGAGGCGCTCTCCGGCCTCGTCTGGCGCGCTCGCACCCGCGCGCTAGGGCTCGCGCCGGAGCAGCAAACGAAGCTGCTGTTCGCCGTGGACGGACGGCGCCGTTTCATCCCTCCGCTCCCAAAGGGGTACTTCGGGAACGGCATCGTGCTGACCAACGCGATTGCCACGGCAGAGGATCTGCTGTCGGCGCCGGTGTCGCGCGCGGCCGGGAAGGTGCAGGAGGCCGTGCGGATGGTGACGGACGAGTATATGCGGTCGGCGGTGGACTATTTTGAGGCGACGCGCGCACGGCCATCGCTGGCGTCGACGCTGCTCATCACTGCGTGGTCGCGGCTCGCGTTCAACGGCGCCGACTTCGGCTGGGGCGAGCCGACCATGTCCGGGCCAGTCACGCTGCCGGAGAAGGAGGTCATACTCTTCCTCGCGCACGGCAAGGAGAGGAAGAGCATCAACGTGCTGCTCGGCCTGCCGGCGTCTGCCATGGACGCTTTCCAAGCGCTCATGGACGAGATATGAGCGGCCCAGATTGATTGGATACATCAGCGAGAGCGCTTATACACTGTTATTATGCGTATTTTGCATGGGTTTGTTAGTATGGTTATGTAATTCTTGTGAGTGTGCGTCATTTATTTATCAACCAGCATGGTCTGTATAAAACTTCGAAAATATAGTTTTCTTATATATGAGTATGCTATTAGTAAAATCTATATGTTATATTATTGAAATGATAGAAAATAAACGGTCGAGATTCATCACCCTAAGGTTATCAACGGCTGAGATTCGTCAACACCTACATATCAGTTATTGAGCGTCCTTCAAAGAATTATGGAGACTCAAGAGCTACTCAACAAAGTCAAAAGCATCAATAACAACCTTATTATCTATTACATATGTATTACAGAAGTCATTATATATATATTACAGAAGTCAAACAAGTTATCACGTTCATCCACACAGGTTAAATTATCTCGGCCGTAAATTACAGCTATTAACGGCTAAGATTTAAAAGATGTAGTGTTACAAGGATTATTACCACATTGATACAGTCTGACACGTCACGCTGCCGTGATGCGTATATTATATGTCTTTGGTTCAACTCATATAATACCTTACGTTGGTCCTAAACAATTTACTGCAAGCAAAAAAATAATCAAGTCGCCAGCCAACTAAGGAAGGTCTAATTAGGAAAATTAAAACAGTCCGGCTAGAAAAAAGGTGAGTCCCACCAAATTGATCAATCCGGACTCTTCGCGGGCAAGGAGATATAGTGGGCCAAGAACGAGTTAAACTTGGACGCATAGAAAATTGGATGACATATCTTTAAAAAAAATTTGGATGACAAACATATTAGGAAAAGGACTCATACGGGGAGGATTTTCGGATAAGTAAAAAACATACGCATGTAAATCTGGAAAGACCCAAAGGTTACGTAGTCTGACATGTGTACGTGCAAAACCAGCTAAACTACTAATTAGGAAAGGAAACTTACGGGAAGGTGTGAAGGTCTATTCGGAGGGACAAAAAAGAAGCGCACGTAATAGGCCGAGTCCAACATCCACACATACAAAATTGGTTCATGTATATTAGGAAAAAGAGTTATATGCGAAGATTTTTTTGACAAATAAAAAAATGCACATGTAAATCTGCAACATGCCTAGCCTCCTAGCAGGTATACATACACGATCATATTTTTTAAAATATGCAGAATCAGCATTGCATGACCACCCACATATACATTGCATCAAAGGGATAGAAACCAATAATCAATTAATAGTGGAATGTCGAACATATAATATGTCGACGGTTCTCCAACCTGTATAAACAGAGATGCTACAATATTAGTCATATTAAGCTAAAACAAGGTATGTGTTTATATACATAAAGAATATAACTTGATTTATATGGGAATTTTAAAAATAATACTTCCTCCGTCCCAAAATTCTTGTCTTACATTTGTCTAGATACGGATGTATCTAACACTAAAATGTAACTAGATACATCTGTATTTAGACAAATCTAAGACAAGAATTTTGGGACGGATGGAGTAGTAAGCAATTTATTAAATCAATTTTCATCGTATAAAATTCAAATATGGCTTAAATATGAAATTTAACCAGTACAGTGGAACATGTAATTTAAATTCAAATAAATTATTATCGGAGTCCAGTCTGATTAGAATATAACTTGATGCAGAACAACACAGACGAAAAAACAGAATCTATTATAAAATTCAGCCAGATAAAAAAAAATACACATTTTCTGTGATATATTCAAATAGTTATTTAGCCTTAGATGGCCGGTTTACATAAATAGTTCGAGTAAGAGGATATTGTCACAAGAATTTAGAAGATGTGTGAAAGACTGTTTGTGCGTCATAGTGTGCTATTTGGAGGTGCAACTGCAAGACGTACAATGGTGATGCAAGTTTAGGCCTATAATAGTTGTTGAAATGATTAGCTATGGTAGGTCACTAATCTCTGTGATACTGACACTATTTTTCACATACCGTTGAATTTAGCAACAATAATACATTAAAAAAACATCTTAGCCTGTGTTTGATCATGTTTTCTCAAGATGCACGTTTGAATATTTTCATACATGGTAACATGGTAGCTCGGTTAATGTTTTGCTGCAGGGGAAAATAGTGACCGATGTAGAGCAGTAGAAGAGAGAAATATTAAAATTAGTACGGAATTATAAGACTGATGTGTTTAATTTTTTCAATACAATTAATCGCATAATCTCCATTTTTTTATGTTTTTTCCAATAGATCCACGCTTTGGCTATCATCTTTTAATATAATTTTGATATTGCTGTAGAAACATTGGTGGGGGAAAACAACAGCAAATATAAAAACTAGAGGTTGTGAATGATAGAGAATGTTTTAGGGAAAAGGAAGCACTATTTGATGTCTAATATGTATTTAATCATTCTATTTTTCTTAAAATATGTAATTACATGCAAAATAAGTGAGCAAACTAACAAGCTTCGGTGGTTGCGAGTGGGAGAATAATTCAATAGTTTACCAACTACTCATGGATTAAGATCATCTAGACTCAGAATCAGTTTATAGCTAATTAAATTACAATTAGAACATGGTAAAGCATATATATGAACATGTGGATATATGTCACCGTATTAACAAATTACACACGTGCAATAGGATCGGTGATGAGGCCAATGAAAAAGAGATAACAAAGCATGACTACAAGTCAATGTTTATATTTTCTCAAGGAAAATTCCTAAAAGTGTAAAAATAAATGAAAATGAATGAGAAAAAAGTTGGAATAGTTAAAGCTAGAGATTAGTAAGAAAGCTTATGGTTTGGCATATCGGGACACATTTCGTGGTTCTTTTTCTCTTTCGATGCCAGATAACCAAATATTTACCAACACATTTTGTACAAATTTGGTATATGTAGTTAATTTTAATAATATGTTCTCAAAATAGGAAAATTGTCGATAACATTTTCTATGACTAATATAACGATGGATCAAATGAAAAAACAGGTCGAGAAAAACAACAAATATTTAAAAAATTACAGAAAACTAGCCGCGCAAATGCGCGGGTCACCCCACTAGTTTTTCTTATGTAGGACCCGCTTGCCATTGGCTGACAGTTTCTTCCCCAAATCCCAATCCATCCATTATACACACAAGCGATGCCATGGCAGAAGAGGGGTTGGGTGTTAGCACCAGCTTGCTAGGAAGGAGGCATCGCCCGTCCTCCACGGCGACAACGAGTGCCATTAGACTACTCTGGCCGATGCAAGACCATCACATTGGCACACAAAGAGTACATGCACGGCCAGACGTTGAAGCACGCACACCGCACGCTCACCCCAGTCGCTAGAGCGCACACAAGAGAGATGGGAGACAGAGCACACACACAACACTCACGCATCACACAAAAGTACAACACAACGCTCATGCGTCACACAACATTCCCGATGGTGGCGATTTGATTTTTTTGGTGACCATATTCAATTCCGCTTGAGGTGGTTGCGGGAATTTCTCTTCCGCTATTGGAAATATGTCCTAGAGGCAATAATAAAATGGTTATTATCATATTTTCCGTTCATCATAAATGTTTATTATTCATGCTAGAATTGTATTGATTGGAAACTTAAATACATGTGTGAATAATAAACCACACAGTGTCCCTAGTGAGCCTCTACTAGACTAGCTCGTTGATCAAAGATGGTTATGATTTCGTAACCATAGACATGAGTAGTCATTTGCTAACGGGATCACATCATTAGAAGAATGATGTGATGGACAAACCCAATCATAAGCTTAGCATAAGATCGTTTAAGTTATTTGCTATAGCTTTCTTCATGTCAAGTATCAGTTTCTTAGACCATGAGATCATGCCACTCGCGGATATCGGAGGAATACTCTGTGTGCTATCAAACGTCATTTCATAACTGGATGATCATAAAGGTGCTCTACAGGTATTTTTGAAGGTGTTTCTTGGGTTGCATGGACCGAGACTGAGATTTGTCGCTTTGTGTGATGGAGAGATGTCTCTGGGCCCTTTCGATAATACAACATCACAAGAAGCTTGCAAGCAAATGACTAATGAGTTTAGTTCATGGGATCTTGTATTACAGAACAAGTAAAGAGACTTGCCCGTAACGAGATTAAACTAGGTATGGAGATACCAACGATCGAGTCTGGGGTAAGTAACATATCTCCGAACAAAGGGAATTGCATACGGGATTAACTGAATCCTTGACATCCTGGTTCAACCGATAAAGATCTTCGTGGAATATGTGGGAACCAATATGGGCATCCAGGTCCCGCTATTGTTTATTGACTGGAGAGGAGTCTCGGTCATGTCTACATGATTCTCGAACCTATAGGGTCGCACGCTTAACGTTTGATAGCGCTAGGGTAGTATTGAGATATTAATAGCAGAAAGTCTGAACATTTTTGGAGCCTGCTACCTCTTGAGCACTGCGTTGGTTTTCCCCGAACAGGAAGGGATGATGCAGCAAAGTAGTGTAAGTATTTCCCTTAGTTTTTGAGAACCAAGGTATCAATCTAGTAGGAGGCTACGCGCGAGTCCCTCGTACCTGCACAAAACAAATAAATCCTCGCAACCAACGCGATAAGGGGTTGTCAATCCCTACACGGCCACTTACGAGAGTGAGATCTGATAGATATGATAAGATAATATTTTTGGTATTTTTATGATAAAGATGCAAAGTAAAGTAAAAGCAAAGTAAAAAAGCAAAGGAAATTACTAAGTATTGGAAGATTAATACGATGAAGATAGACCCGGGGGCCATAGGTTTCACTAGTGGCTTCTCTCAAGAGCATAAGTATTCTACGGTGGGTGAACGAATTACTGTTGAGCAATTGATAGAATTGAGTATAGTTATGAGAATATCTAGGTATGATCATGTATATAGGCATCACGTCCGAGACAAGTAGACCGACTCCTGCCTGCATCTACTACTATTACTCCACTCATCGACCGCTATCCAGCATGCATCTAGAGTATTAAGTTAA